TACTACTCTACATAAATAAGAGTATTATATTCTGACCCTTAATATGTGTTTCACTTCGTCTGTCTGTAAAATAGGTATGTTACTTCCTTACTGCTAAGGGAAGATGTGGAGCTCAATTAATTTGTTTATATAGTACTTTGAGTAGTTCAGAAAGCACACAGTATTATTTTAAGAAGTTTCAATTTTTTCTAAAGGCAGCAGAAAAGTGCATTATATTAGGGAATCCTATCCTTCACAAGGGACCTCTAAAGGAGAGGCTCTGTTGGAGACAGACTATTGGATTAGATGGACCCCTGATCTGATCATGAGTGACAATTCCTGTCTTTGTAAAAAGAGCATATTTTCAGTGAACTTTGCTTAATTGTAGAATTTTCTTCCACTTATAGTACCACAGTCCTATAGTTCATTGCGTGGTGTAGAGTCCAACTATCTACTGAGGCATTCGACGATGGAATGTAATATTTTGTCATTGAAGATGGGGTTGAGTTTTTTTAGTTTTAGTTGTCATTAATCAAGTGACTGACATTTTTAGTCAAGTAAGTTCATACACATGTACCCTGTGACAATCCCTTCTCCTCTGTGTTCCCTCCCAAACTTTGTCTGCCTTTTCTAGTTATGTCTTGATCCACTGATGCAGATGGTACTCAAGCCTGTGTTTAAAATTAAGCATACACCTAACTTGCCTGGATAGGGCTGGATTTACTCATCAAACCCATATGATCTACTGGGGACTGTTTTTTTTTTTTTAAATATGGAAATATATCTATCTCATAGAGCTGGAAGGGACCTTAAAAGGTCATTGAGTCCAGTCCCCTGCCTTCACAGCAAGACCAATTTTTGCCCGAGATCCCTAAATGGCCCCCTCAAGGATTGAACTCACAACCCTGCGTTTAGCAGGCCAATGCTCAAACCACTGAGATAGCCCTGTTGTGCTACCTAGAGTGACCGTGGTTTATGGCATCACACCAGGCATCGTGTAGTGAAATTCCTAGGTCTGGCTCAATCCTGCCACTCCATGAATCTCTGGGGTGGCCCCAGGTAGGGCCAGGCCATGCACCCCTTTGTGTATCGATTGACAGCTTGAGAGCACGGTGTGCTGGGGTGTTTTTGTTTACCCTCGTGACATGGCTGAAGAGCATACAACCCCGCTTTTGAATAGAATTAGCAATCGAAGGAAGGTCAGATCTCTTTGAGATTGTGATATTTCACACAAAATCAAACTGTTTTATACTCAGGGATTTAGCACTGACAGTGCATATGAATGTATCTAATTCTGCAAGGTCATCTAGTTCAGTCCCTTGCACTCATGGCAGGACTAAGTACTATCTAGACCATCCCTGATGGGTGTTTGTCTAACCTACAGTTAGTAAGTTTTTCCTAATGTCCAATCTAAACCGCCCTCACTGGGAATACTGTGTGCAATTCTGGTTTCCCATGTTTAAGAAAGAGGAATTCAAACTGGAACAGGTGCAGAGAAGAGCTACTAGGATGATCAGAGGACTCGAAAACCTATCTTATGAGAGGAGACTTGAACTTGGCTTGGTTAGTCTAACCAAACAAAATCTGAGGGAGCTATGATTGCTGTCTATAAATACATCAGAGGGATGAAATACCAGGGAGGGAGAGGAGTTGTTTAAGTTAAGAGCAAATTTTGGTACAAGAACAAATGGAACAAACTGGCCATCAATACATTTAGGCTTGAAATTAGAGGAAGGTTTCTAACCATCAGTGGAGTGAAATTCTGAAATAGTCTTCCAAAGGAAGTAGTGGCTTCAAGACTGAGCTTGATACATTTAGGGAGAGGATGATATGAGAAAGTTGCCTACAATGGGATATGGCCCATCTGCAAATGCTACAGTAGTAGCAAATATCTCCAACAGCCAGAGGTGGGACGATAGAGCGGGAGGGCTGAGTTACTACAGAGAATTTTTTGCAAGGTGTCTGGCTGGTGGGTCTCACCCATGTGCTCAGGGTCTAACTGATCGTCATATTTGGGGTAAGAAAGGAATTTTCTCCAAGGTCAGATTGGCAGAGACCCTGGGGTATTTTACCTTTCTCTGCAGCATGGGGCACAGGTCACTTGCTGGTTTGAACTAGAGTAAACTGTGGATTCATGCGTCTGACGAAGTGGGTATTCACCCACGAAAGCTTATGCTCCAATACGGTCTGTTAGTCTATAAGGTGCCACAGGACTCTTTGTCGCTTTTTGTGGATGCTCTGGAAGTTGAAGTCTTTAAATCAAGATTTAAGGACTTCAATAATGCAAAGATTCTGGATTTCTTACAGGAGAGGGTGGGTGAGGTTCTATGGCCCCAATGCACAGGTGATCACTCTAGATGATCACAATGATCCTGTCTGGCCTTAAAGTCTGAGTCTGTAAGATGGCTCAGGTTTCTGACCTGTATAGCAAGTCAGGTAGTACACAGATTTGATAGATCCTAAACTTTGAGCACCAAGATGTGAATACATGATACATCCATAAGCAATACATAGATTTCATGCAAGGGTGGCGAGACTGATCAGTCAAAGAGTGTCCCAGATTTAAGCATGCAGTTAAATACTTTGTGGAATTGGGCCCTGAGAGAGTCTATAGGACTGCTTAGTTCATGCCTAGCTGAGGTAGGGTTGCCAACCCTCCCAGTTTCACCGTGAGTCTCCCAAAATTGGGCTCTATCTCCCGGAGGCTACTTAAGCCAAACCAGGAGATTTTAGGCTGCTAAAAGTCCGGTGGTGCAGCAGGGCTAAGGCAGGCTACCTACCTGCCCTGGCCCTGTGCTGCTCCCAGAAACGGCTGGCAGGTCCCTGCTGTCCCTGGAGGAGGGGCCAGGGGGCTCCGCGCGTTGCCCCTGCCCTGAGTCCGACACCATGGCTCCCATGGGCTGGAAACTGCAGCAAATGGGAGCTGCAGGGGAGGCGCCTGCAGGTGGGGGCGGCGCCTTCAGGCGGGGGCAGTGTGCGGAGCCCCTGGGGCCCCTCCAGGGGCCCCATGGATGTGCCGGCCGCTTCCGGGAGTGGTGTGGGCCAGGACCTTAGCACCGCTGCACCTCCGACCGGGAGCTGCCTGAGGTAAGTGCCGCCCGGCCAGAGCCCGCACCCCTCACCCCTTCCACACTCCAACCCCCTGCCCCAGCCCTGAGCCCCCTCCAGCATGCAAACTCTGTCCCAGAGCCTGCACCCCTTACCCCCTCCTGCACCTGAATTCGCTGACCCAGCCTTGAGCCCCCTCCTAGAGTCCACACCCCCTCCCGCACCCCAAGCCCCTGCCCCAGCCTATGGTGACCAGGTGTCCAGTTTTCGTCTGGAACACCCGGTCAAAAAGGGATCCTGGTGGCCCCGGTCAGCACTGCTGACTGGGCCGTTGACTGTCTGGTTGGCAGCGCTGTGCTCCTCGTGGCTCTTGGGAAGCAGCCAGCATGTCCCCCACTCCGTCTCCTACGCGTAGGGCGGGGGGAGGAACCCTAGGGCCCGTGGGCCAGATCCGGCCCCGTGGTTAATTTAATCCAGCCCACGGCATCCCCCTGTGGGGCTGGATCCGCTGCGCTGGCTCGTGCCCGCTTTGGGGTGAAGCTCTGAGCCTTCGCGCCCCCAGTGGGGCTGGAGCCACAAGTGGGGGGAAGCCCTGAGCCTCTGCTCTCTCCTCGGGGCTGGAGCCACAAGTGGGGAAAGCCCTGAGCCTCCGCTTCCCCTGCCCTCGAGGGGCTGGAGCCACAAAAGCCAACTTGCCCTGCTGCAGGGGGAAGCCCTGAGCCTCCGAGCCCCCCTGGGCGGGTGAGTGAATGGCCCATGATTGATTTTTTTATGTGGGTCAATGGCCTGTGAGAGAAAAGAGGTTCCCCACCCCTGAGCTCTCGTGCCCCAACCCCCTGCTCCAGCCCTGATCCCCCTCCCACCCTCCGAACCCCTCAGTCCAAGCCTGGAGCACCCTCCTGCACCCCAAATCCCCCATCCCCTGCCCCACCCTAGAGCCCACACCCTTAGCTGATGCCCTCAACCCGCACCCCAACTGCCTGCCCCAGCCCAGAGCCCCCTCCCGTACTTCGAACCCCTCATCTCCACCCTCCAGCCCAGAGCCCCCTCCTGCACCCCAAAGCCCTCATCCCTGGCCCCACCCCAGAACCCTGCACTGCCAGAGCCCTCACCCCCTCCTGCACCCCGGCACCTGAGCCAGCCCGGTGAAAATGAGCGAGTGAGGGTGGGGGTGGGGGGTTCAGAGGAGGGGTGGGGCAAAGGTCTTTGGTTTTGTGAGGGTAGGAAGTTGCCAACCCTCCCCTAGCCCTGAGCCCCCTCCTAGAGCTTGCACCCCTCACCCTCCTCCTGCACCCCAACCCCCCCTCCCTGCCCAGTGAAAGTGAGTGAGGGTGAGAGAGAGAGAGAGCAGCGCCAGGGAGGGAAGGGGATGGAGTGAGCAGGGCGGGGCAACGATGCTTGGGTTTGTGTGATTAGACAGTTGGCAACCCTAAGCTGAGGTGTGTCTCTACACTGCAGTAGCCTGCCAGCACTAGCTGTGCGAGTGGACCCTGCACTACTACCCCTTCCCTAGTCCGCTTTGAACGACACAGCTTTGCAAGTGGAGACACTCAAAGCACACCAGGGATCTGGTGGTGCAGGGGTGGCAGGGTCACCTGCAAAGGACAATTCACACCCAGGCTTGCACGTGCTGGTGCAGAGAAGCCCAAAGCCCCTTGGGGGCTGGGGCCGCCTCTCCCCCGGCTTTGTCCAGCACCGAGCAGCCGGCTCTCAGGGGGGCTCGGCGTGGGTCCCTGCCACCCGCCTCTCCCCAAGCTGCGGGAGCGGAGCGGCTCCACTGCGCAGGCGCGTCCGGTGTGTGTGTGTGGAGCGCCACCCCCGCGTGAGGTCACTCGGCCCGCGCCCCTCCCCCCTCCGGCAGCGGCCGAGGGTTGCCGAGCGGCGGGCCGGGGCTCGCGGGCGCCGCTAGGGGGCAGTTGCGGGCGCAGCGGGGCGAGCCCAGCGGGGAGGTGGCGGCGGTGGCGCGGGGAGCGGGTCCGTGGTGCGGGGATCGGCGCAGCTTCCTGGTGGCGTGCGGGGAGCCCGGCACCTGCTCGGCGCGGCCGGCGGGAGAGAGGAGCCCCAGGCCGGGAGCAGCGGGGCGGCGCTGCCCCATGGTGCGGCAGGTACCGCGCGGGGGCGGGGACGGGGGCGCGCTGCCCGGGGAGCCGCCCGCTGCGCTGGGGCCGGGGCGAAAGTTTGTGGTGGGTGGGCGGTAGGGAACCTCCTGGGGGGTTACCCGGCCCCAGGTCGGTCTCCTTGGCCGCTGTCCCGTGCGAGGGGCGGGGTCCCGAGGCGGGGGGTCCGAGGATTTTGGGGGGGGGAAGGTGGGGGAGCTCTGAGCCGGGTAGGGGAAGCAAATCAGCATCTTCCAGCCCGACCCCGGGCACCGCTGGTTCATAGCTAGTGTCTTCCGAGTATGGTGTTTTCCAGGCTCCCAGCAGCTGTTACTAGCTGCAGTCAGTGCCACACGGGGATACACCGTGTTTCCCCGAGTAGGTTAGGTGCGCTGAATGGCAGCTCTGGGGGAGGCTGGCCAAGGGCTGCTAGGATGATCTTTCAGTTATGAAGTCACTTCTCTGAGTTTAGTTTCCAGCTGCATTTAAACTGGCTATAAATGTCTTGGAAACTCTTGCAAACTTTGTAAATATCCCATGAAGTTCACATAGCAAAGAAAAGTTGACAGATGTTCATTGCACTGTAACTTACAGAACAGGGTTTTTTGTTTTAAGGCTACTCTGATTCCTTTCATCTTCTTCACCCTGGCCTCTTCTCTCCAAGTCAGTCACGAAACGCGTTGAATAATAGTTTGTCTATAGCATTGTTGTTAAAACAACTTTGTTTTAACTGGGTTTTTCAATTGGTCATCTTTATTTCTTCCTGGAGTAGTAAAGGTAAATGGACTTGAACTTCTCAAAAAAAATTGCAATCTAATGTTAGTTGCCATATTACTTAATATTTCCTAATTTGCTGTTTCATAGATGATATAAACCACCTCAAAGGGTGACAGTTTTCCTCAGTAGTTCTTTTCTGCACATCTTGTGCTGACTTCTACCATATATACGTTGTGAAAACAAGTTTATGGTGCCATAACTAAGCAGTAAAGAAAGTAAAGTATATTAGATTTTAAAGTGAAATTTCCACTCCTCAATTGGACCTCCTTATGACCTCACCTTTGCTGTGATGTCTCCAACAATTTAGCCATCTAATGTGGAGGAGGCAGGGCAGTTGAAAGTAAACGGTATGCTTTATAAATACACACAGTACTTGTATGTTGTCTTTCTTGCCTCCATTCTTAGCTTAATTTGTCTCTTTAGAATATAAATTTTTTGGAGCATGGGTTGTTTTCCCCTGTATGTTTGTACTGCACCTAGTACATTGCAGGCACTACTGTAATACATAATAGAATTAAAAACTAGTTGACACATTGATAGCATTAAATACAGATACTGCTAATTTGAGCATTTGAAACATTACTTACTTGTAGTAATACATTTAAGGCTTTCAGTTATAAGTGTAAGTGCTGTTATAGCAGAACTTTTGTATCATTTTCTTAAAACTTATTTTTTCAATAACTGTTCAAATTTTCTATACTCATTCACATTTAGGAGGATTATTATTTGGTTGTTTTAAAAAAAGTATTAAACTTTTGTAAAGAACAACAACAAATAATTGTCTTAATACTTGGGTGGTTCCACTTCCAAAGGAAACAGCTGACAAACAGGAGTGAGAAAAGAAAGATAAGATCCCATTGTAACCAGTGGATTCTGAATAACTGTTAATGAAATGCAAATAATACAATCTTGGTGACACTGACTTCATCTTATTGTTGGAAAAAATCTTGACTAGGAGAAGACAAATCATGTTTAACACATCCCTTTAGAACCACATTTCTTATTTTAAATATATTGGAAAAGGAACATGTGCCAAATAGTAGGAATAATTATCACATATATAGCAGTGTATATCTTCAAAGTATTTTACAAATTAATTTATTTGAAGAACTGTCTAGTGTTGATAAGATTATTGAGGAAATTATTTTTTTGTTTCATGAAACACTTAATACTAGTGACATGTCTGATCCTTACTTATGCAGATTCTTAAACACCAAATTACTTGCCAGAGGTTTTGTAATTATAAACATTTATAAGGTGTCTATCATTTATCATCTGTTTTTACATGTTTTATAATTGGGGCAGTTAATTCGCACTTTTAATTGGAGAGAACACTGAATGTTATTCTAATACTAACTGAATTCCTGTAGAATATCTTTCTTGTTTCAGAAAACTTTATCAATGGGAAAAGACTGCTGTGGTGATTAGACTGAAGTGACCAAACTAAACTTTGTAATTTAACAATCACTTCTCTGGACAATTGATAAACTGTCTCCACAGTGAATTTTTAAGTGATCAGTCCCTCTAACATAGAGTCAGGCTAATAACACTCCTTACTTAGAAAATTTAATAAATAAAGTCAGAACAATGATTATAATATGGATACTTTGTGGAAACTGATTACTTTTACACATCAAATCTGTGTTTCCATCACCTACTCTAATATGTTGAGAGCAAAACTTATTTAAGATTCCCGTTTTTTAAATTTGGCTTACTTCAGTGATACATAAACAGTATTTCAATATGTTCCTGTGCAGTTTTTCTATGAAGCTGAGTAACAATAATCTTTCACCAGCCCAAGAATTTTAATGTATACAAAAGTAATTAAAGCCAAATAATTCTGTTAAGTAGACTAAACAACAATATGGATATCAGTGTTGATATTTCCTTATTTCATTTGTTTGCTGATGGTCTTAACGTGTAGTAGCTACACATTTGACTATCAGATTAAAAATAAAAAAGGAGACTCTGATCCTAAATAGACAGTTACGACTATTTGTTTGTTTCAGTACGTCTTTTTAAAGATAGTAATACATAAGTATCTATATTAAGAGTTTTGTGTAGAGCTTGTAGCCCTTTTCCCCCCTCAATCCTGTGCAGAAGTGTTCCCCTATATCCACTGAATTTTATGAGAATAGTTTTGCATCAGAGCCAACGGTGCACAATTCTTATATTGGAAAGAGTGCACTACAGTAGATGATTGAGAGAAGAGGATTTTTAAAATTATTTGCTAGCTCATGAAGCTTGAAGAAATATATATTCTGTTTTGTTTTGTTTTTGTATTATTGTGAATCAGTCGAGTGTTTGACTTAATTTGTATAATCAATGATTCATAGACTTTAAGGTCAGAAGGGACCATCATGCTCATCTAGTCTGACCTCTTGCACATTGCAGGCCACAGAACCTTACCCAACCACTCCTGTAATAGACCCCTAACCTCTGGCTGAGTTACTGAATTCCTCAAATCATGGTTTATAGACTTTAGGTTTCAGAGAATCCACCATTTACACTAGTTTAAACCTGCAGGTGACCTGTGCCCCATGCTGCAGAGGAAGGTTTAAAAAACCCTAGAATTTCTTCCAATCTGACCTGGGGGAAAATTCTTTCTCACCCCAAATATGGTGATCAGTTAGACCCTGAGCATGTGGGCAAGACTCACCAGCCAGACACTTGGAAAAGAATTCTCTGTAGTAAGTCAGAGCCCTCCCCATCTAGTGTCCCATTGCACAATTAAAAACAAGCTATCTTACAAGTCATAGCTTTTACTGTATAAGACACACAGGGCTCGAACCCACAAAGGGACTTAGCCATGCCTAAGTCCAACATTTAGGCATCCTCTGAGATCCCTAAAACTGCCACTCAGCTGCTGCTTAACTTTGGAGGTTCCTTGTGGTGTCTAAATTTCTGCTGGTGAGAATGCACAAAGTCACCTAAGTCCTGGTGTTGTTGAGCTGTCAGCAGCCCCACTGGGACTCTCAAATTAGGTGTACCTCAGTCTGTTTTGCCTGTGGGCTCTGATCCGGGAGGCATTTTCAGCACATGTTGACTGGATCAGGCCCAGGTGTGAGCAGATTTGGAATTTTTCAAAGTGGGTGTGTGCGTGAGTATGTACATACATAGCCAATAGCTCAGTGGTTAGAATACTCGTCTACAATGTGGGATACCTGTTTGCAAATCCCCATTCTGCCTGTTTTGGAGCAGGGACTTGAGCCCATGTTTACCACATCCCATGTAAATGCCTTGACCACCAGGTTATTGACTATAATAGAGTGGAGGTTTTGCTCGTGCTCTCTGTGTGTGTGTGTGTTTATGAGAAAGGGCTGATGTGGCTTAGGTGTCTAATTCCAGGAATGGATTCATGGCTATGAATCTGGAGTGGAGATAGTCACTCCAGACTAATTAACTCTGGGCCAGATAGTAAATCTGGGCCAGAGTTAGGTGCCTAACTGCCTTTGAGGAGTGGGGCTTAGATTCCACTCCTCAGCATTTCCTGTTGTCTAGTTTAGGCAGCACCCCGTTCAGGATGTTGTCCTCTGTGAATCCCATCATCAAGTGCTTAACTCTCCTTGTGGACGGTATAGGGAGGCTGGGTGACTACTCAAGGCTAAAGATTTCACTTGGCAGCAGGGCCCCTAAAAATTAGATGTTGTAATGCTCAGCATTGCTATTTCTAAGACCTTTTGTGGATCTAGCCCATAGTACACCTCTATCCTGATATAACGCGGTAAAGCAACGCTCCGGCAGATCAAAGCAAGTTCAATATAACGCGGTTTCACCTATAACACGGTAAGATTTTTTGGCTCCTGAGGACAGCGTTATATCGGGGTAGAGGTGTACTTGAAACAAGTTGTTTTGTCTTTACAGCACATTCATTGAAACAGTCTATGTTATAAATGTTGCACTCCATTCTGCAATGGTGATTATGATATTTCTGTTATCTCCCATGGCTTTTTACTTTAGCAGTCTGGGTTGTCACTAACAAAGATTCAAGTAACTCTGGTCTTGATGTTTTTCAAAACTATCCTATGTTGAAATTGCAAATTGGAAAGTTATTCCACAATAAATTATGTTAATAAAAGAGGATTTAAATGATGGTATTGAATATTTGAGTTATATGGAACATAATAATAATAGTATCTAGCACAGATTATCTTGTTCCCTTTTCTTGTCTGACACTGTAGTAGAGCCACATTCACAATGTAAGTGGGAATGCTGCAAATAGAACAGCAAGG